CAGAATTCTCCAGCCAGCTATGCTGGCTAGAGAATTCTGGGAGTTGAAATCCACAAGTCTTAAAGTTGCCAAGTTTGAAGACCTCTGATTTAAACAGTGCTCACATTGTACACTTAGTTTTGACCATTATATTCATTCCAATACACCAATGCATATATGGTATCTCTTTCCAAGTCCATCTAACTAAATTTTTATGTATTCCAACTTCCACCTCGTGCTTCTAACCATTGGTAGAACCTGTTCCATGTGTCATAATATTCTGTCCCTCCTTTGTCTTTTATTTTTAATGTTAGTCTGTCCATTTCTGCACAGACTAAAATCTTCCATTCAGTGTTTTGAAGACCACCCAGTGACAACGTAAGAAAACTAAATAGCAATAGCACTGAGACTGATATACCGCTTCACAGTGCTTTACAGCCCTCTCTAAGCGTCAACATGTTGCCCCCAACAATCTGGATCCTTATTTTACCCACCTTGGAAGGATGGTAGGCTGAGTCAACCTTGAACCTGGTGACATTCGAACTGCCAAAACTGCTGGCCACTGGTGATCTGCAGAAGTAGCCTGCAGAGCTGCAGGGGTCAATAAACTGTGGCTCTGGAGCCGCATGTGGCTCTTTCCTCCCTCTGCTGCAGCTCCGTCACTGGTTGGCACCACAATTTTGAGAGGAGATTCTGGGGGTGGGGGGGAGGTAGAGAAGCACAGTGCACCAGAAGAAGACTCTATGGCAAGGGGAGGGTTTTCCAGTTGTCTCCACAATTGATAGGGCTTTCAGTTATGACAGGTAGAGGCAAAAGTATGCCGCTCTAGGAGGAGACTCTATGGTGGGGGGAACTGAACTTCCGGTCAGCTCCAGAATTGAACAGGGGGCTTCCGGTTAGGACCTTTGTGGCTCCCGCTGTTTTCTTTTCTATGGGAAATGGGTCCAAATGGCTCTTTGAGTGTTTACATTTGCCGACCCCTGCTCTAACCACTGTGCCACTTAGTGTTAATAAATGTTAATAAATAAATGTCCAAGATTTTATCATTCCCATCTCAACACTCAAAATACATTAAGCCAAAACAACAAATCTTGCAAGAATGCAGCAGTTCTCTCATGGTGGCGGGGGAATTTTGGGAACTGAATTAAAGTTGGGTTGGACACCCCTGGCCCTAGAGCTACAGAGACAAAAGTAACTTAACAACAATTGTGGTGTCCTTTAAATAGCCCATGGTTGAGAGGAAATAAATCCCACAGCAAACAAACTTATCTTTGTCAGCGGCAACACTTGTGCCATTTGCCAATTTAAACAAACAAACAAATAATAATAATAATAATAATAATAATAATAATAATAATAATAATTGGCCGCTGTGATACAATTGTATAATAATAATAATAATAATAATAATAATGATGATGATGATGATGATGATGATGATGATGATGATGATGATGATGATAATCACTCAGCCAAAGATAATCTTGGACTGTTGGTTCTCTGCCACACTCTATTGATCCAGAAGGGAGGAAAAGGTATCCTTCCAGAAACAAATTGTTTTGATCCAGAGAAAACAGCGGGAGATGGAAGTGTTGCTTTTTAAGAAATAGGAAACATTAGCAGACATGATTAGCCTGTAAACAGCCTCCTTGAGAGGTCTGGAGGATATTGTTAAACTAAGGGACCCCTCTGCTCCTGTTTATATAATGTTTATCCACTCAATGTTCGCGTCAGGATCATGTCTAATAACGGCTAGTCCTCGACTTAAAAACCATTGGTTTAGTGCAGGGGTGGGTTTCTGCCGGTATGACTGCAGGTTCGGTGCGTACACGATTTTGCATTCTGGGAGTTGTGGAAGTCCACAAGTCTTAAAGTTGCCAAGGTTGGAAACCCCTGTTCTATTATAAACACAGGAACAGGGAAAGGAAAGGCTAAAAATTATGTATCATTTGAGTCAGGGGTGGGTTGTGGCCTCTGTTACTGCCAGTTCGCTCAAGGATGCACTTTGCGTGCACGTGCACTTGTTGTGCACTATGCACGCATGCACAGTAGTAAATATAGTTCCTATTCTGCACATATGCGCAGAAACAAAAAAACAAGATGGCGGTGCCTACGGCACCACCGATAAAATCAGTTTGGGAGCGTAGCCGCCCGAGTTACTACCTACCAGTCCGAACCAATAGGAACGCACTTCTGATTTGAGTGGGATACTGACAACACAGATGAATTCTCCGAGATACCAGTAACTATGGAAAACACCTGCATACTGGTAATATCTGTGGTAAAAAGGTAATAAAATCAGGCGTGACTCACTTAACCGCCTTTCTAGCAATGGAAATTCTGGTCCCAAATGTGGCTGTAAGTGAAGTACTGTCTCTACAGGTAGTCCTCGACTTACAACAGTTTGTTTAGTGACCATTCAAAGTTACAACGGCACTGAAAAATGTGACTTATTAGAGAGACAACAGAGGGAAAGGGTTTTGAGTGGCAAAGCCTATTCTTTCCTGCGCAGTACGTGGCGGTAGGTTTCTGGCAGGTTGTAGTCATTAGAGTGCAGTACTGCAGGCCACTTCAGCTGACTGTTATCTGCAGTTCGGCGGTTCAAATCTCACCGGCTCAAGGTTAACTCAGCCTTCCACCCTTCCGAGGTGGGTGAAATGAGGACCCAGACTGTGGGGGCGATATGCTGACTCTGTAAANTGGCCTTCGGGTGCTTTGGAAAATAGCTTGATCCCCCTCCTCTCTGTGGCAGGCCCTCAAATATTGGAACACTGCTGTCATGTCTCCCCTGGTCCTTCTCTTCACTAGACTAATTAATTGGTATGGAATTGCACTGGAATCTGTACCCTCCTGTCCAGAATAGAGGACAAAGGTAGGCAGGAATTGTATGGAACATTTTTGGTCAAAACTGAAAACAATTTCACCAGTTTGTTTAATTGACTGTTCCTATCAAGACCAAGCAAACTACTTTCCCACTGAAGGCAGGAGTAACATCTGCCCTTCTCCAGTCCTGTGGGAGTAAGAATATCCTCTGATTTCTCAAATAATCACCAAAGTGTGACATCTGCCCATTACTCCAAGACTCCCCATTGTAATGGAGAGAACATAGTCATGATGACCAGTTCTCCCCTAATTCTTGACTATCTTTGACTTATCTTCTTCCTTTTGTCATAGCTAGATCCAGATGTTAGAAATTTGAGCAGGAAAGTAGATCTTCCCCATCTGTACTATGTGCAAACATTTATCACAGCCCATTCTCTCCTGCATTTTACGCACTGGGAGCACAGTCAGTGCAAGGAAAACCACCCCAGGCCTTAGAGGAGCGTTGCCCACATGCTTTTCTCCAGAGGGGTGTCATTTGCATGCAACTGGATGTCATTTGCACACCCAGCCAGCCTTAACCAATGGATGAAGGAGATAGGAAAGGGATGCTAGCTTGGAAAGGCCCAATAGACAGAAGTAGGTGAACAAGACTGTGCCTACATCATAACCTTCTCTTGGTAAAAAATCTGCACCTGTTGAAAATCTGCTCTATCAGGTAACAACCATGATTCATCCTCACCCAAGCCTAACCCAGATTCGGAGGCAGCCTCCCTGCTCTAATAAGAGGGCGTTCAGACAAGCAGGAGTTTTTCTCCCCGTCCTTTGTTTCAGATTCAGGTGGTTTTAAGGAGAAAGGCCTGGGCGCCACCAAGCGCGCCCCCGCCGCTGAATCGCGCCCCCGCCCCGCTTCTGCGCGCCCCCTTTGGCTCGGAGCCAAAGGCAGCCCGCTAGGGTTGCATCAGACGAGACGCTTCTGCCGCCGCCGCCGCCGCCGCGTCCCTTGCTCGCCCAGCCTTTAGGCTCAGGATTGAGCTCCCTCTTCAGGTGATCGATCTGCCTGCTGGGACAAGCGGGCGGCTGGTCCTCGGAGCTGCTCTCCTGCAAAATGTTCTCCAAAAGCAACCACTTGCTTAGGAAATTCTCCACCACAGCCAGGGTGAGTAGGAATGTGGGGACGTGGACAGGGGCTTCGGTTCTAAAGGGCAGAAAAGATAGGATGCTGTCCACTCCTCTTCCTCCCTCCCTTCTTCCCCTCCTTTCTCCCCGTTCTTGCTGCCCGGCTGGCGGATGGGCAGATGTTTCTCAAAAAAAAGAAAAGGGTTTCTGGGACAGACAAGTCAGGTTTGAGGCAGCATTTTGGTTTGCCAGAGAGATTGGAAAGAAAAAAAAAAGGATGGGAGGTGAGGCAGGAGAACTGTAGTAACGTGAACAGAGGGTGTTTTGTTTGGCTTCTTGCTGTTGTTTTAACAAAGAAGAAATTCAGCACAATTTGTGTGCTGGTATTCTTGCCAAAAAGTTTCTGCTTATGTAGGATGCTGTCAGCCTGAAAAAATAGCTTAGCCGTCATGACTGTGTAGGATAATCCATCCATGGGATAAAAGGCATTACATTAGGCTCCCTGGGAAAGATGGGATGGTTGGATCCCCCCCCCTCCCAATGATGTGTGTGTATGTATGTGTGTGCATAGATGCAGATGCATGCAGCAAGTAATCCATTCCTTCCAGACTGATACATGTGTCATAATTCCTGGAGCTGCCCAAAATAATGCCTGCTTTAGACCTGGAGATGTTGCATTTTATATCTAACTAGTCATGTAATGTTTACCTTAAACTATTTCTCACATTGTATGCCACCATTCTTCTTGCACAAGGTCCTTCACATCAGCCTTTCCCGGTAGGCTCACATGAAAGAGATCAGTTCAATATCAGCCAACTGGTTTCATAGTAAAATCTGCCTTTCTAATAATTTCCCGCTTTCCGCAATTTCAGCCCCTAGAAAGCACTGGGGACTGGAAATCTGCAAATCCCACACTATCCTGACCCGCTTCTGACTGGGAATTATGAATCTCTTTCCAAATTGGGAAAGGTTATATTACAGTGTATTATTTTCTTACTGATTGTGCAGTTAACTTCTTGAATACTATTTTGCCTTAGCATGTTAAAAGGTTTTATTTGGAGCCTGAGCATTTTCCAAGGGGTTTGTGGGGTTTTTGTTTTGTTTTTGTATTTTTGCACAGAAACCACTTTAACCCAGATGTTTTAAATATTGTGTGTGCATGAGAAATGAAGTTCTACCAGCACTATTTCTTCTGGAGACAGTATGGTATTGTCACAGAAAACACAAATGTACTAAACAGGACGAATGCCCTGAAATGTACTTCTGTGGGATTTGCACTGAAAGTCCCTTTAAGTTCTTTTCTTACTCGATTGTTTCTAATTCTGTGTGCAAATTCACAAACTCAACCAAGTATCTCTTGCTTTATTGAAGGGGCGGGGGGTGGGGTTTGCATATGTGCTTGACAACACATATGTTTAGTGAACTGCCAGCTTCCTAAATATTTTTTTTCAAATCCACATTAAGGAATGAATATAGTAAGAAGGCTTCATATGAGCTCCCTGGATTGCATCAGCAATGTTAAATATGAGAATGAATGACTGACGACAGCACATTGCCTCTGGATAGACTTTACGAGCTTTACAGCTGTAAGCAGAACAGCCAGTAGACGTGGAAGTGATCACATGTCTTATGCTTTAACCACATAAAGACTCTTCCAAGCAGCCATATATTGCAGCCAAAATTATGTATATTTAGCTATTCACTGGAAATCCACCTCCAAGAATCACAGTATAAACCCTTGTGCTTAGATTTGGTTTCTTAAGACTTCTGTCAAAAAGAAAAATTCTTAGTTTGCTTCTCTCTCTCTCTCTCTCTCTCTCTCTNTTAACCACTGCGCTACCTCGGCTCTCTTACATGCATGATGTAAGAGTCCCCAGAATGACATTAGATGATGAGTATTCTGTTGGGTAAGATCTGACTACCAATGAGCAACATCTTGGCCTTTAAAATCAGCACTGAACTTAAATATTGCCATGCAGAGGGTTACTATATGTGAAATATGGTATAATTGCACCCAATAGGATGGAAGACGTAAGAACACGAATTATTGTCCATCACAAATGTTTGCAAACCTTTGGGGAGCTAGTTAACCCAGTGTCCATCACAAGAAACCTTTAGGGATTTGGAGTTCAAAAGAATAATGGAGTTTATTCTATTCAACCTATACACAAGAATCTGATCTACCCTGTTTTCCCGAAAATAAGCCCTCCCTGGATAATAAGTCCAACCGGGCTTTTCAGCGCATGTGCTAAAATAATCTCTCCCCCCAAAATAAGCCTGCCCCAAAAATATTGCAGCACAGCAGCAGCCATGAGGTGATGACGCTCACTGCCTCCTGCACCTCAAAAATAATAAGACCTCATTAATAAGGCCAAGCACTTATTTCGGGGGTCAAAAAATAAGACCCTGTCTTATTTTCGGGAAAACACAATACTAAAGGTCAAGGCAAATTGGTGTCAGATAAGACTCAACAGACTTCAAGGGGAGCTAGACATAGCTCTCTTTTGGGGCCATAGGGGCTCCAGAATGATGATGTGTTTGACCCAGTGGTGCAATTCAGCCAGTTCTATCCAGTTCAGGCAAACTTGTAGTGGTGGCGACGGGAGGCTCCACCCATCTGCCCAGACATCATCATTTCCCATTTTTGACACACTGTGCATGAATGGAAGGCCCACATGTCATCATGTCCCATTTTTGACACTCTGTGCATGAACGGAAGGTCCTGCACATGCGTGGAGGTGGAACATGCAAGCAAAATGAGCTTACATGTGTGTGCTCACATTTGCAAAACAGTAGCGAAGGTAAGTTGATTTCACAACTGGTTTGACCTCACCCTTGGGCTCAGCTTCTTCATCTCCTACACTCACCAATAAACTTTTATTTTCCTTCTATATGCGGAGTCTGGAACATGGTACTCCAGATGTTGTTGAACTGCATTCAGTGATGAATGATGTTGTAATGTGTGATTTAAAACAATTGGAAGTTGCACATTCTGGACTCTTACTCTAAAATGATTTATTTCTTGGTACACATGAATCTAATCTTGCTGGGGTTTTTTATACATAGCTTAGCTAGGTAGTAGCATCTGATCAATCTGCTCCTCGAATACTAAGCATGAATGAATTTGGTTAGTATTTGGAAGAATTGAATTGAATTGAATTGAATTTATTGCACTTATATGCCGCCCTTTTCCCC